CCAGGAGCCAGGTGCCTACTCTCCCATGCAGGTGCAGAGCCCAAGCACTTGGGCTATCCTCCACTGCCTTCCCAGGCCACAGCAGAGAGCTGGACTGGAAGAGGAGCAACTGGGACAGAATCTGGAGACCTGACCAGGACTAGAACCTGGTGTGCCAGCACCGCAGGCGGAGGATTAGCCAAGTGAGCCACGGTGCCAGTCCTGAACTCCTTTTTGAAGTCTGCATCACCTTAATTCCTAAGCCAGAAAAAGATACAACACAGAGAGAACTGTAGGTCAATATCCCTGTTGAACATAGATGAAAAAATGCTAAATGAAATATCAGCTAATAAATCCAACAACACAACAGAAAGATCATTCATCTGAGCCAAGTGGGATTTATCCCTGGTATACAGGGATGGTTCAATATTTGCATTCAGTCAATGTGACAAATCACATTAACAAATTGAAGAATAAAAACCATATGGTTATCTTATAGATGCAGAGAAAGGATTTGATAAAACACAACATCTTAAATGAGGAAACCCTTAAGAAAATCAAGTATAGAAGGAACATTCCTCAACACAATCAAGGCAATTTATGACAAACCCACGGCCAGCATCCTATTGAATGGGGGAAAGGTGAAAGCATTCCAAGATCTGGAACCAGACAAGGATGTCCAGGCTTACCATTGCTGTTCAACATAGTTCTAAAAGTTTTAGCCAGAACCATACGGCTAGAAAAAGAAATCAAAGTGATACAAATTAGAAAGGAGGAAGTCTAACCACCCTTATTTGTAGATGACATGATTCTATACATTGGGGACCGAAAAAACTCCACTGAGAGACTACTGGAACTCATAAAAGAGTTTGGTAAAGTGGCAGGATATAAAATTAATACACAAAAATCAATAACCTCTATATATACAGACAATGCCATGGTTGAGAAAGAATTTCTAAAATCAATAACATTCACAATAGCTACAAAAAATTAAATTCTTTGGAAAAACTTACCCAAGAATGTCAAACACCTCTATTATGAAAATTACAAAGAAGACATGCAAAAAATGGAAAACTCTTCCATGTTCATGGATTGGAAAAATTAATATCAAAATGTCCAAACTACTGAGAGAAATTACAGATTCTCTATGATCCTAATCAAAATACCAACCACATTCTTCAAATCTAGAAAAAAAAATGATGCTAAAATTCATATGGAAACACAAGAGACCCTGAATAGCTAAAGCAATCTTATTTAACAAAAACAAAGCCAGAGGCATCACCATCACAATTCCTGATTTCAAGACATACTACAGGGCAGTTATTATCAAAACAGCCTGGCCTTGGCACAACAATAGACATGGAGACCAACAGAACAGAATAGGAATTCCAGAAATCAATCCATGCATCTACAACCAACTTATCTTTGAGAAAGGAATACTACTCAGTGGTTTAAAAAAAAAATCTTGTATTTTACAACAAAATGGATGCAACTGGAAATCATTATATTTACTGAGATAAGCCAGTTCCAAAAATAAAAATACCATATGTTTTCCCAGATCTGTGGTAACTAATAGAGTACCTAAAAGGCAATGGGTAGGAGTGAAACTGATATTTTGAGATTTGATGATTGTTACAGCTCTTGTCTTGACTGTTGAAGAAAAATATTTTTTTCCTTCAAAGTATTTGTTGAACTCTTTACTTAGTTTAGCATTAATCTGATGAGTACAAAGTAAACTAAAAATAATTCATTGTAAAAAATTATAAGTGGGAATAGGAGAGGGAGGAAGAAGAAGGGGGAGAGCATGGGTGAGAAGGAGGGTAAAGTGGGAAGTATCACTATGTTCCTGAATCTGTACATAGGAAGTACATGAAATTTTTACACCTTAAACAAAATTTTAAAATAAATCAAATCACAAAGCATACAATTCTAAAAAAATGGAGAGGAAAAAAGAACACTATTCATGACAAAACAGTATATGTTGATGATACCACTTATATAAAATTTCATGTGTGTATGACTATAAATAAATATTAACTAAAAGATAACCACCATTGTTATCTGAAGGCAAAAATATTACAGATTTTTATATTCTTATATTTATATACTGGATGTTTTATAATTTGAACTTTTAAAAATTTGTTCCATCATTTAAATTATTAGTTATATAATTAAAAAATACAACATTAAATTGATTTTCATTGTGATATATACACTATACATATATGGAGATTAAAAAATATTCATGCAGTTAAGGATTATGCTGATACATCAGAACTCAAATTCAGCCACTGTTTAATAGGTTAAGGCAGCATCATGAGACTATCATGAACTGTGGTCTATATGTATATATATCCTATTAGGTATTAACATTTAAAACAGCCTTGATTATGTTAATATTTCTTTAGATTTATTTATTCATTTGACAGGCAGAGTGACAAAGAGTGAGATGCAGAGACAGAGAAATAGTTCTTTCATCTATTACTTCAATCCCCAAATGACTGCACTAGCCAGGGCTGGTACAGGCCAAAGCTAGGAACCAGGAACTCCATCTGGGTCACCCCACATGGGTAGCAAGGGCCCATGTACAGGGAACTGAGTTAGAAACAGAGCAGCTAGGACTCAGACTGGCATTCCAGTCTGAGTCTGGGGTATGGGTGTCAGCAGGCTTAACCCACTGCACAATACTGGAATTCACTTATATTAATTTTTATTCTTCTTTCAAGACTTAGTTAATGTCATTTCTTCTTCAGTTCTCTACTTTTCTCCCAAATGTTTGCGCTCCTTGGCAGTCTTCAATATCCCTTCATCATCATACTTTCTTAAATTCACATAGTTTGGTGACATCTCATTTTGCTAGATGAAATGCAATACCACGTAGGAAATGTCTGAACTCCTACTTCTGAATCCTTCAGGGTTCATCAATTTCTTTTTAAATTCAACAAGAATTTTATACTGAGAGAATATATTGTATGAAACTGAAAGATGGACAACAATGCTGAAAAATTCTAGGCAGGAGCTGGCACTACGGCAGAATAGGCTAAGCCCCTGCCTGTGAAGCCAGCATCCCATATTGGCAGTGGTTCATGTCCCAGCTGCTCCTCTTCCAATTCAGCTCTCTCTTATGACCTGGGACAGCAATAGAAGATGTCCCAAATGCTTGGGCCCCTACACCCAAGTGGGAGACCTGGAAGAAGCTCCTGGCTCCTGGCTTTGGATCAGCTCAGCTCTGGCCTTCGTGGCCATTTGAGGAGTGAACCAGCAGAGGAATATCTTTCTCTCTGTCCCTCTCTTTATCTGTAACTCTACCTCTCAAATAAACAAGTAATAAATCTTAAAAAATGTAAACATTAATAAAAGAAAGAAAAATGCAAAGCAGACTTCTGAAAGGCATTTTGTATGGCTGGTTTTTTCTCATGAGCTCTGGAACTTTGATACTGAACAAACTTGTGGAAAAGACACATTATTTCTATGTTTAAAATAATCCAGTATGTTCACCAATGCAAAATTGAAAAACAAGAAATCTAGCTTCTTGATTTTCAGAAGGCATTTTAATTATGTGTGCATATAAAATTATTAAGAAGCTAGATCAATCAAAATATCCAAGTACCAATGTAGAAAATAAAGCAATTAACACAAGTAAAATTTCTAAGCCAATATTATTACTATATTCGCTTAATTACCTTTCCCCTCGAAGACTTGAAGTTTTACAAGATTTTCTAAATCAAAACAAATGAATTTATGAAGTCATAATTAATTTAAAAAACTTTAATGAATCAATGGCATATGTAATTTTCCATCACATTTACTTACCAAGATGAATAAACTAGCATTGCATATATAGTTGAAATAATTTATTTAGAAGCAAATAAGTTGTTATCATGGATCAACATATGACTTCCATCAGCTTCTGAAAACAGTTGAAGACACACTCTACAGTTCAAAGTATTCACTGACCTCTGTTTCAGAACCAGTATTCTATAATCCAAGAATGAATTGGGACTAAAAATCAACCTTATTTTTAATTCACAATTTTGTTTAACAAAAAAAATCAAAAAACCCTTAAAAGAGTATCAGGGTTAATTTGCACGAAGTGTAGTTCAGAGATGACCCATGAAAAACATGACCTTAACCTTAGGTCAAGGGCAGAGGAGACAAATGGGCATGAGTGGTGAGCCCTAAAAAGCCTTCTAATTTCATTGACAAAGGTCCAAATAATAGATATGACAAGGCAAACATTGCAGTGAGAGACAATAATGCAATATTTTGGTAGCTTTTGACATCTATTTAACTTCTATATGATGGGTTTTGCTTGATTTTTTTTTACACTGAAAAGATAAATTCAAATGCATTCATAATCTTTGGAGATTAGAATCAGATCATCAAGACAAGACAAATTCTTCTGAAGTCACCAGATCTCATGGCAGTTGCAGTAAAAAGATCACTCATTGGCCAATCTGAAATTTTCCTGCACAAGAAACATCTCAAATATGCACCTCCCAAATTGACAAAAACTAGGTTAGCAAACATTGAAACCTTAAGAATAATGCAAGTGTTGTGGAGTTTTGGTGGCTTTTTTTTAAGCACAGGGCATGAAAGTAGTAAACATCACATCACAACAAATTCCTGTTAATCCTACTTTGTTCATTCATGAAGCATACAGATATCATAAAATATTGTACCAGCAGTTTCAAAGCATGACTTTGGGAAAGATTTAACATGTGAGGTCAGTATGAGGTTTTCTTATTAAGCTGCCATTTCCTTTACAAAATGGACTATTTTGTACTAACTGCTACCCTCTCAACTCTTATTGTGAATAATTAAAACTAAACTACAAAGCATATTTTGTGATACTGGTTACACTGTAGGTTGTAGGTTTTTGTTTAGTGGCTCATTTTAAATGTTTACCAATCCCCGGAGGGTTAACCCTGCCATTAACCTGAATCAACAAAATTGGCTGGCCCCTAAAAGCAAAGCAGACAGTTCCAAATCATAATAAAATGGTCTTGTTGGTAACTCACCGTATTGACAGTGGGGTCCATGAAATCCCTCTGAACACTGGCTCTGCTTGGTTTCACCATCTGGGCATTTCCTTCCATTGAAGGGAGTTCCTGCTGCAGAGCTAGCTAAAAGTAAGATGGGTGAGAGGGTGGGAGAATGGATTTGAGAGAATGAAAGAAAACCATCAGTGCAACCATGTTGCTAATGTAACATAATCCAAAAATTTCCACAAGCCCTTCCACAGCAGATTCCAGGCCTGCCTATTTAAATGAAGTCTATAGAACTCTGTGTAGGGGAGCAACTGCATCACATGGAAACTGTGGAAATGCAGATTCCTAGGCCTGTCCCAGACCTTCTGAATCAGAATCCACATTTCAACAAGACACCAGCCAGGTGACCTATACTCACATTCAGATGCGAGAAGGATTGGTCTAAAGATACCCCACGGTCAAAACAACCCCAAAAACAAACAAATAAATAAATAAATAAAAAGAAAAAATACTAAGATTTACCAAAAGGAAAAGACTGTGTCAGGTGTCAAATAACAATAAAGCATTGATCTGAAAGTCATTCCAGGAGGTTCTAACACCGGGGAGAGGGCACGGGGCAGGTGTTTTTACTGCGCCTAACACCTTCCTCCTCCCTATTCCTGCCCCTCAGCTGCAGGTTCTTAGCACTTCATGTAAATGGGCATGGCCCTTGGTGCACCACTCAATGCTATGCCTGCGGCAACTTCAAGAGCAGAAAGTACACTGGGGAAGGAAGCAGGATGACGACAAACTCCCTTAGGTACCCAGTAGCCAGAGAGATGAATTGTTGTGCTCTGGTGCTGCATTGATTGCAACACACTGAAGCATTTTAACTGACTTCGCAATAACCATAAACACATAATATAGGCAAAGGAGTCACTAAACGGAACCATTTCTCCTGGCGTGAATACACTATATAATGCCATTAGTTCTGCAGCCTGAGTGCTGTCAAACACACTCCAAAGGGTCTCGCCAGAGGTTTCTAAGAGGACTGCACACCTCATCTTAAAAAGTAAACTGCCTCTAGAGTTCTGCAATTAATCATGACAAGCACAGGTTGAGAAATCCCATTTAGATTTAGTGTGGTGATTTCCCTCTGGACTTTTGAATCAACTGTGGATTACAAATTTGATGATATGGAAAAGGGGCAAACAGAAGAGAGAGATGGAAGTCAAGGTGGAACCTGTCTGGCTTTAAATCAACTGTCTTTTAAATAAAGAGTCAGAATATAAAGCAGCACTTCCATGGGCCCTCAGTCGTGACCTATCATTAGAAACGCTTAACAGGAAGGCTTTTTGTGCAGTTTAGCACATGTCATGTGTGAATTTTGAGTACAAAGAGATGCTCCGAAGCTGTGGTGATTATAAAGATGCCGTAAGCTTGACAGCCACGATAGGACTGAAGTCAAAAATCAGATCAAAATCCTTCCTTCCATGGCAGAGAGTGAGACAGGAAGAATTATAACTTACAGTGCAGGCAGCCCGGTTCGTTATCCCGCTGTCTCCAACCAGGACAGCACCTGTAGACTGTCCGCTGCTCCATGCTGTACACCTGTCTGTAGGTGGTATAGTACCGGGTCCTACAAACACAGGAATCTGGATCAGGAAAAGACAGTGCTTTCTCTTACAAGAAAGTTGCCACCTCCAACTCACTAAATTGTCTCCCTCCAATTCAAATCCTGACAGATAGTTCAATAGATGTGTGTGTGTGTGTGTATATGTGTGTGTGTTAATAAACACTAAGAGAGACTCCAAGTCCTATGGTAACATACATATCTCAGGACCACTCATGCCAATAAAAATGAAATCCAAGATTATAAAGAGGATAATGAAATCCTTAAGGACAATAAGATACATACTTTTCAACTTGATGCTGATGCTCCAATATATTAATTCCCACTAGAGCACACATTCTTAATCATAGTGATATAACCCACAAGGAGGTGACAAAATAGCTCTTAAGAGAGGTGGTATGAAAAGAATCTTGGCTGACAAAATGGTATGTTGCCCTACAAAGGAGCACAATATATAACTAAATATAAAGTATATGCACAGTGTTAAAATTTCATGAGAGAGGGGACAATTACGGGGAAGAAAAAGTTGTAGAAGCTTCCTGTGGAGGAAAATAATGAACATAAGGTTGAAAGCACTGCACTATTTATGCTGATCTATTAGACCAGCAGAAATGGGGAAGGCTATTTCCCTCCTGTCAAATCAATGTCATATTTGTCCCTTATCCCAAGAGTACTAACATATTCTCCCTTTTTTACATGCCCCTCCCATATTCCCAACCCAAATCCCCTTCTTTATTCAAGATCAATTTCAATTTCCACTCCTTCAACTTGTCCCTCCCCACTACACCAAAGTGCATGGCTCTTTCTCTTCTGTCACAGTAGGACCTGCTGTCTAGTCCATTTTATGACAATTACTCACCACCTAGAATTGTATCTTAACATAAGGATATAAGTTTGGTAAAGATGACAAACATACATATTCGATAATTGCTGCCACTCCAAACCCAGAGCCACACATGGCCCGTGTAAAACTAAGCTTTCGAGGATATAATTATAAGCCTATTTTGCTTATCCATATTTGTTTTTTTGAAAAAATGACTGACTAACTAAAAGGTGAAAGACATTCTGGTTCAGGTTGATAATTGTAATAGTTGAATATCATGGGAGAAGTACAGAAAACCTTAAAAAAAAAAAAAAAAAAAAGCCATTTTCGGCCGGCGCCGCGGCTCAATAGCCTAATTCTCTGCCTGCGGCGCCAGCACAACGGGTTCTAGTCCCGATCGGGGCGTCGGATTCTGTTCTGGTTGCCCTATTTCAGGCCAGCTCTCTTCTGTGGTCCGGGAGTGCATTGGCTCCCGCCTTTGGATCAGCGCAGTGCGCCGGCTGCAGCGCGCCGGTCACGGCGGCCATTGGAGGGTGAACCAACGGCAAAGGAAGACCTTTCTCTCTGTCTCTCTCTCTCACTGTCCACTCTGCCTGTCAAAATAAATAAATAAATAAATAAAATAAAAGCCATTTTCAAAACAAGGACTCCTGGGGCTGACGCTGTGGCATAGCGGGTGGGGCTGCAGCCTGCAATGCTGGCATCCCATCTGAGTACTGCTTGGAGTCCCAGTTGCTCCACTTCTGATCCAGCTCTCTGCTGTGGCCTGAGAAAGCAGTGGAGGTTGGCCCAAGTCCTTGGGACCCTGCACCCATGTGGGAGACCTGGAGGAAGTTCCTGGCTCCTGGCTTTGGATTGGCCCAGCTCCAACTGTTGCAGCCATTTGGGGAGTGAAACAGCAGATGGAAGACTCTCTCTCTCTCTCTCTCTTTCCCCCTACCTCTTTGCCTCTGCCTTTCAAATAAATAAATAAATCTTAAAAAAATTGTTTAAGCACTCTATTGGGCAAATCACATACCCTATAAATATGGTTTCTATCCCATATTGATTTTAAGAGGTACTAAACAGTAGACAGGACACAGTAAGGTGACTATAGGTAATAATCATCTACTGTATTGTTTTTTAAAATCTAGAAGAAAGGGTTTTGAAAGTTTTCATCACACAGAAATGATGGACATTTGAGGATACAGATATGGTTACCTTGAATTGCATATTATAGAATGTATGTGTATCAAAACATCACATGGCACCCACAAATATGCATAATTTTTAAATATTAAAATTAAAAATATGTATCATTTAAAAATCTTAAAAATTAATAAATTTTCCTGCTACAGCATTTTGCTAATACATACTGAGTACTTACTGTGTACTAAGCATTGTGCCACATGTGTTAAATAAATTTTCAGTTAATCCTCATTATGTTTATATATGCTATTCTTGTAGTAATTTTTCAGATTAAGGCATAGAGAAATGTAGGAACTTTGCCTAAGGCCACACAGCAAGTAAGAGCTAGGGAAAGATTTCTGATTTAAACATTATTTAAATGCCCTAAGATTAAGCCCAAAATATAGAAAAATACCACTATTTATCTGAAGATTAAACACACAGAGAATATATGTATACCATAATTACAAGTTATTTAGTCTTATAATATTTGGCCCTATATTATCAGTGTCGTAATATGTCTATTGAATGGCAAACCCAGTTATTTATAAATATCTCCAGGTTTCCCTTGGCAACAGTAGTAGTAATAATGGTAAATACTTTATTAACCTGAGACCATATTTTTCTAATGTGCAGTATCCTGGACTCAGATCCAGTTGATTCATTTTCTTTAAAAAAAAAAAAAAAAAGACTTTTATTTAATAAACATAAATTTCGAAAGTACAACTTTTGGATTATAGCAGATTTTCTCCCCCATAACCATCCTCCCACCAGCAAACCATCCCATTTCCTATGCCCTCTCCCATCTCATTCTTCATTAAGATTCATTCTTAATTATCTTTATATACAGAAGATCAACTTAGTATATACTAAGTTTCAACAGTTTGCACCCACACAGAAACACAAAGTATAAAGTACTGTTTGAAGACTAGTTTTACCATTAATTCCCATAGTCCAACACATTAAGGACAGAGATCCTACATGGGGAGTAAGTGCACAGTGACTTCTGTTGTTGATTTAACAATTGACACTCTTATTTATGATGTCAGTACAGTTGATTCATTTTCATAAACTAAATCCTCAGCAACTATTTGTACCAAGAGATTTTTAGGTATTTTGTAAAACTATTTTAAAACTTAAAAAAATAAAAGCCTGCATGTAGCCTTAACTCCTAGAAAGCATTGTGGATACTTGCTTTTTCTCTCCTCTTCCAGCCTGCCGAGTTAATCCTAATTCAAAGGCCATGCTAAAGTTAAAGAAGCTCTAGGATTCAAAGTGTGACGAGAGTACGGAGGGCAGGTCAGGCATTGGCTCACGACTGCACAGCTTCTGTATCCAAGTCGTGCTAAATTTAGCAAACCAACACAATATTGCTTGTTTCTGTCAGGTTTTTGATCTTCAGCTTTCAATGGTGTATCAGGTCATGAGGTAAAATTAGTGGCATCCAACCCAAAATACTTCACACATAAATGAGGCCTAAAGCAAAGTAACAGTATATCACATCTCTGAAGAAAAACCCATCACTCCGAAAATTCCCAGTTGGCACACTTTATGCTTGCTCATTAGTGGTTAATTCTGACATTTATTGGATGAAATACTGAGGTGCAGTTGAGATTTCTGGCTTTGATATTTTTCAAAATTTTTTTACTTATTTATTTTATTTATTCGTAGGGCAGAGAAACACAGAGAGAGCTCCAATCCCCTGCTGGTCCACTCACCAAGTGTCCACAACAGCCAGGGCTGACCCAGGCCAAAGCCAGGAACCCGGAACTCCATCCAGGTCTTCCACGTGCGTAACAGGAAACCAACATCTGCTGCTTTCCAAGATGTGCATAAGCAGGAAGCTGCAATCTGGACTAGAGCCAGGACTTGAACCAAAAACTCCTGTGTGAGATGCAGGTGTCCCAGGCACGGCTTAACTGTGCTTTCAGTGCCCACCCTGGCTTTGATTTTGAATAACCACAAGGAATAACAGAAGCATCCTTACCTTGTTTCATAACCCACACACCATCTTGGGCCAGCACAACCCTGTTTCCAGAGCTTGATGGTGTGCCTGAATGCCTGCACACAGGGATATGGAAGTCCCACCATGGTCAGTTGCTGTTCCTCACAAACATTTGGCCTTGAAAAAGAAAAGAGCAGCAATTTGATTAAAAATACAAATGTCTTAAATATGAAGCATGAAGCATTTACTTCTCCATTTTCAAAAAAAAAAAATAGGTTGTGACAGCTTATGAAAATACATACATAATGTAAGAGAAAAATATAGATAATATATTAAAAAATTCAGGTCCTATAAATATGTACAATTACTACATGTCAAGTGGAAATTAAATGTTTTTTTAAAAAATCTAGAACCAGGGAAAGAAGAGTCAGAATAGAGAAATTTAAAAGACAGGAATAAAAGTCTTTAAGTTTCCACATGATTAGAAAACTTCAGCTACAAATTAGGTTCTGATCTCTTTTATAGCCAAAATACAAAAAGAAATAGAAACACAGGATTCTCTATATCCATAAACAAAAAACAAGCAAATTCATCAGAAAGAAGTTAAGTTTTTACTGGAAATTATTTCAGAACAATGTTTTCCACCTGCATGTTTCATTGGGTTTCATGTTTAATGCTTGTTTAAACACAAACATTTTTCAACCAGCATCATTACATTAATATTTCCGTACAGAAATTTTATACAGATTTATAGCATTAGATACATTATCTTTATTTTTTTAATGCATAGGGATAAATTATACTGATAGAGTGTCAGAATTCATTTTTTAATAATCTGGTAATTTGAGGAATATTTTACTTAGTGATAAGTGATTTATTAGCCTATATCAATCATCTTGAATTTGAAAACAATATTTATTATCAAGCTGGGCCAAGCATTCACAGTTTTCATGGATCCAAGGTCACTTACAAGTCAGACACTGATGATTCACTATGCCTTCAGGAAGCCCACAGTCTGCTTAGCCTACATACACACTCTCTGCTGAAAATGGAAATGGGTTCTGGACCAGGAACTCTGTGACCTTGTCCAGTGACACAGTTATAATACTGACGACAGCACTGGTAAGCATCTAGTTCTTCCCACACTATCAACTGCATCACTCCCGGGGACTGCAGTCCCTTTGTGTTAGCACAGCTTTCCTTGGCTCTAAATCTCACTATCTGATTTCACTTACAGCTCAGTTCTCACCTCCAGAAATATTTCTGAAAGGTGATTATTTGGAAAGTTAACCTCACTTAAACTGAATAGCATTCATACAGAACTTTTTTATTTATTTAAATGGCATACTTTAATACTTCAGGTAAATAGTGTAATAAAACAATAAAAGCAAAAACTACACCTAAGCTGAGCATCAATAAAATCAAGAAGTAGACATCAGGTCAAAAGAAAACCTTAGCTTTCAGGAACTCTACATTAAATTCCCTGTAAACACACCTAAACCCAAAGCTTGCTTCTTGTGAGTCAGCTAGCCACAATTCACTTTGTTCTTGATAGACTGAAGCCTCACACCCCATCTAACCTTTAATTCTGCTTTGTAACTTCTTAATTTATCCACCATCCATCTACCCAGCACCCATCTATCCATCAACCCATCCACTCATCCATCCATCCATTCATTTATCCACCCATCCAATAAATGTCAGAAGCATTGCCCCAAACAAAGATTTGGGTATATGTAGTTTTCTTAGGAGGTATAGAAAATACTTGTTAGGAAGCGGGAAAAAATGGGGAGACAATTAAGCAATAAAAGATGTGTTATGAGGCAGATAATATAGTGGGAGCCTGAAATTTGTACACTAGTTCTTGTCAGTGATCAGCTGAGATTCTCTCTCTCTCTCTCTCTCTCTCTCTCTCTCTCTCTCTCATTAAACTCATCAAAGAAGGAAACCTTTGCTTGAGGAAGTAAAAAAGAAAATGTTAGCAGTTGAAAGCTTAGCAGGTGCACAGTTATAAAGGAGAGTGAGTGTGGGTGTGACAATGAGAACTGCAGCTGCAGATTGATAGTACAACCAAAAGAAAGACAATATTCTGCATTCACTGACAATCTAAAGAGAAGACAGAGTAAGTAATAAACACTTAAACCCATGCATACAAAATGTGACATACTGAGATGAAAGCAATCAGGAGGTCTTCAACTGAAGAGGTGCTGCTGTGACCTGAAGGATGGAAGAGCCAAGGGACAACAATTCTGGCAGAAGGGATAGAATGAGCAGAGGCTCTAAAGGGAGAAAAAACAATTGGCCTACCAAGTACCTGAGAAAAGGCCTAAGCACCTCAAATGATGAGATTCTTGGTGAGATATGTGGAGTCTTGCAGACAAGGAATTCTGATTTTATTCTCAGTGCACAAGAAGCCACAAGAAGCCACATCTGTTTTCTAGACAGATCTGCTAGAGCCAGGATCTAGAGACAGGCATGGGATTTTCTCTGACACCAAATGAAGCAAAGCTTCACAGCTGCAGCTCCTACTCCCCTCCACAACTCCTGACATTTCCAGTCAGGGAAATAAACAACCTTGAACACCAGGACAATACAAAAAGCATTACTGTAAAACATGCCTCATCAGGACTTTGCACCCTTTCCATACTAAAATCCTCCCTTATTAAGAGATAATAAAGCCCCTACCCCTAACTATCTCAGGATCTGTTCCCTATATTCTTCTATGTGCATGCATAACAAATTTTTCTCCTACTAAATTGTCAACTAATTTACAGCCTGTTTGAATCTAAGTTGATAGAAGTCTTTCCTCCAAGACACAAAAGAACCCTGTATTGTTGATTTCTCATTATACAGATGTGAGGGTGGGTGTTTGGCTCAATGGTGAAAATGTTGCGTGAGACACTGTATCCTATATTGGAGTGCCTGGTTCAGGTCCTAGCTAGCTCCACTTCCAATCCATTTTCCTGCTAATGTGCATCCTGGGGGGCAGCAGGTGATGGTTCAAGTGTTAGGGTTCCTGCCACCCATGTACAAGACTCAGATTGGGTTCTAAGCTCCTGGCCCAGCCCAGGATGTTGCAAGCATTTGAGTAGTGAACCAGCAAATCAAACATTGGTTCATTCTCTCTCTCTCTCTCTCTCTCTCTCTCTCTCCTTTCCTCCTTTCCTCCCTCCCCTTCTCTCTCTTTCAAGTAAAGTGAAAACAATTACTCTAATTACACAGATGTCAAAGGCTATCATCTGATAATACTGATATTTCAAAATCTATGAATATAAAATATCCATTGCTTAGTAAATGGAAAAATTTTGTTCACATTTTTGTATACATGTGTACTTGAAAATATGTACTCTTTGTTAACAGGAACATGCATGTGTGCTCACATACATGTTCAAACTTGTACACTTTGTTAAGTCTCTATATTTATTAAACGTTTCTTATACTTCACTTTGGAGTGTGAAAGATGTTAATTCAAATGTCCCACTAATGATTTTTACATTACTTTTTATAATCTGACAGTTTAGTTCTTTATATATTTTGAGACTATTTGTTAGGAATATACAAGTTGATGATTATTGAATATGATTAGTGAATCATTCTTTCAATCATTTTGTTGTAGTTCTGCTAAACCAAAATAATGTGTTTTGTATTGTTTTAATTTAAAATTGGTCTAATGCTAACATTTTTATATTAGCTTCCACTTGGTTAATATTTTCTTAATTATATCTCATTCTATTTTAAATCTTTCTACATATTCTTTTAACAGTCTGTAGCTGCATTTTTAAAAATTGAATTCGTTAACTCCTAACTTTTAATAAATAACATAAGTACAGTTACATGTGTTTTTATTACAACTGCACCTCTTCATTATCTCATTTGCTGGCTTCTATTTACCAGCAGCTTCTATTTTCTACTTCAGCCTATTCTTTTGTCTGCTGGAGGAAAATGTTTTCCATATTGTCTGTTTCCACAATTTACTTCCCTAGTTATAAACCATGTTTCTAATGTTAGTTGTTACCTTTATATTTTGTACCTAAATACATGGATACTTCAAAATAGTTCAGGGAAGTGGAATTAAAGATAGTTATTTTAGTGCAAACACTTGAAATCCACGCATAGTTCACTCACAATATGCATTTTTCATGATGTTTGGAAAACCCCTTGTATGCATGGATTTCAAAAATTGCATTTTCCAAGAACATTCTGAATTAGCTTTTGTTTTAAGATTTTATTTATTTATTTGAGAGGCAGAGTTACAGACAGTGAGAGGGAGAGACAGAGAGAAAAGCCTTCCTTCCTTTGGTTCACTCCCCAAATGGCTGCAATGGCCGGAGCTGTGCCAATCCAAAGCCAGGAGCCAGGAGCTTCTTCCGGGTCTCCCACGTGGGTGCAGGTGCCCAAGGACTTGGGCCATCTTCTACTGCTTTCCCAGGCCATAGCAGGGAGCTGGATCAGAAGAGGAGCAGCCAGGACTAGAACCAGCACCCAAATGGGATGCTGGTGCATCAGGCAGAGGATTAACCTATTGTGCCATGGTGCCAGCCATTGAATTATCTTTTGTATATACTTTTTTCCTAAAAGAATTTATCTTTATATCCATTTACGTTTGTCATTTACTTGAAAGGCAGAGAGACAGAGAAACAAAAACAAAGAGAAATCTCCCATTCACTGGTTAACTTTACAAATGCCCACATCAGTCAGCACTGGGCCAAACCAAAGCCAGGAGCAAGGAAATGAATCCAGGTCTTCCATGTGGATGGCAGGGACTCAACTACCTGAAGCAACACCCACTGCCTCCCGGGATCTACATTAGCGAAAAGCTGGAATCTAGAACAGAGCTGTGACTCAAACCTGGGCACTCTAATACGATACAAGATGCAGGCAACCCAATTATCTTTTTAAGGGTTTTAACCACTGAGCCAAATGCTGATCTCCCCTAACAGAATTTACAGTTATTCACTGTGATATAATGAAGAATTTGTCTGGTCTTTATCCTCGGTTCCTGGAATGGGGCTCCTAAAACCCTTGGAAATTCCTGATAGGAGTGTCTTTGTTATGCTAATGAGTTTGCTCATTGTGGGCCCCCCAAGATAGCTTGAGGATGAAGCCTGATCATCAGAAAAACCAACCACGTGATTAGTGGTGTGGAACTTCTAGCTACCTGACCTCCTGGAAGGGGA